TTCAAACAACCGTTTTATAGGGCCTGTCAAGAAGCTTTCTAACTAAAAATATAAACAATCATAGTCAAATAATGAAATTCTTGGACAGACAACTTGTTGAAATTATTCTCTCATATTCTTCCTTATATTTTATTGCATATAGTACTAACTGGACTTTTCTGCGACTTTAACACACGTTTTGATTTATTATATCTTTCGGGTACGGATAGAAATGTATTTTGGAAAATGTAAGGAGAGGTTAACTTTTAGGTACTTTTCCCTTCTTCTATTGGTATATAAACTGGGACATAAGATAACGTCGATCAATTTAAGTCTTAGATATAAAGTTGATAGTAAAGAATTGCTGTAATAGGGACATGTACATATTTCAATCTAAGCATACATGCACACTTTTAAAATATGTTTGACTGAATGTCAAACAGTGCAGACGATAAGCAGACCGTCGGTCGTGCCGACAGATCTTTCAGTTATCGCCATCAAGCTTAATTAAAAAGCGGTATCTTTAACCAAATACCTTTCAGAAAATTCATGTGCAAAATTTACCGACAAATTTATCTATTTTCAATACTTACAAAAACTGAAAAAAAAAATGAACATAAAATTTACTTACAGCATTTAAAGCCCCTCTTATTTTAAAAGATCCGGTCTTTTGCATGTTCTCTGCTTTAAAATAGAACTTCCCTCCGTATTTTTCATCGAAATCGTTATCCTGGAATACTTGAGTATTTTTGACGACGGATTTTATCCTGCGATGTGCTTCCTTAACATCACTTAATGTAACATGTGGTATTTTCGCTGTACTCATGGCGCCAAGTTATAACTCATAAAATACTTGCATATCTGGCTTAACTCACGATATACTGTAAAACTTACATTTAAAAGTCACGACAAATGACAAACACGTGTATACAGTAACATATCTACAGTAAACAACCTCATAAATCCTATTTATCAACAGGGAGTTATACAATAATCAAGTAGACTTCACAAAATAGTGACAACACAAAAACGGGTATATATACGCTGCAAGATTTAAATTTATTCTCCTGAAATCTCTATTAACGAGACACTGGCTAGACATGTTACTGTGCATGCGCAATATTTATATATTTATAATATAGTTAACAGATGATATTACCACATCTTCTTTCTTTTTAAAAAAAATAAATTTGTGCATTAAATATATCATCATATAAATATTAAATAATTCTCAACAATATCTTATTTTTTACAAAAAAAGTTAAGCATTTAATATCTACATGAATATTTTTATTTTGTTATGCATCAATTTAATAATGTCGTAAACTATTGTTTCTCACAGAACAACCTATTTGGTTTTACATCCCAACCACTGCGTGTGCGAAAAGGCGAATTTAGTCTAGGGTAAAGAGTGTGGCTGATGTTTTCTCTGAAGGGGATGCTGCAACTGTAATGAAAGATTTAACTAATATTGGGTGACATCTGGGACAAATGTTCTGCAGAGTTTGCACATTTTGCCGGGGAGTTTGTGGAGAAAACGCCTGTTTGGTCTGTTAATTGAATTAGCCTAAAGGCTAGTATTTATACTGTATGATCTGTTATCATGAATTGCGATGATCACAGCTGGTCCCCATGAGCTGATGAGTTGTATGTAGAATAGATTTTAACCTTCTCCCCATCAATAATTTGCCAGGTGAAGAGCAGCAATGGCGCAGAGTGTTTCTATACTCTAAGAATGGCAAATATGGATCGAGTTTACTAGATTATGTTTTAGCTACCATATTGCTATAAAGCTATTTGATTGATTATATATGTCCTGGTTGAATTTGACCAAAACTTAATTTTTGATTTGTATGACTGTTATACTTTTCGTCTCTTGTAGCTTGTCTACTGTACATGTTGGCCGTAATGGGACAATATTTTCTCCATAGAGAGAAAATATCACAGCGGTCGTTTTGGTATGTCATTGAGTTTAGGAGGCTCTTTTGCTTTAGAATGCTATATGTTAAATATAACCGGCAATCTAGCACATGGTCAGTTATTTGTTTTCCAATAGAAGGCCAAAATCGTTCGCGCGACTTGGAGTTTTATTCTATATGTACAGCAATTATCATAGTCTGGTGTCTTTGGGAATAAGAATCTTTTGACCTCTTACGATCATATCATTTCCCGACGGACAATTCTAAGATTCCTTTTCGCCGTGCATGCTAATTGTATTGTTTCTGATATATACGAGTATGACAAACCAAAAACTTAACACTGAAAAATGATTTTACTAAATTTAACGATTTTTGAGACATGACTACTCGTACCAAACTTCAGAATTCAGACTTTACTTATTTTCTTATTATTAAAAATAATTATATACTCTTGTTGGAAGTTATTCCAAATAAAAGAGATACATGTACCATTGCACAGACAAAATGGTCAGTTTTGTAGTAAAGATCTTCAGATACTTAATTGGAAAGATTAAAAGTTTCCTTATGAATTTGATGTGTTCCCAGTGTTGTGTTTTTTCTTGACTGAACTGTGTTTAGAAAATATGAATCTTTCAAATCAATTAAAGGCAGTCTTTAATGTAAATAATCAAATGTACAAAACATCATGTAATATAAAAAATAATATAAATTTAAACGTTTAAGCAAAGAAAGGGCATAAAATAAAAACGTGCTTGGTGATCTCTGCTGAGCTTCCTGTCGTAAAACTCCGTTAGCCACAAACATTGCAGCCTTGAACGACTTTGCTGTACAAAATGCGTATACCCTGGGCCATGAGGATGCGTTAAATACCTTTCATACCACAAACACAAGTCAAAGAAGTAAAAGTTCTGGTCTGTGAAAGGGACAGGTAGCTTAATTGGCAACAAGATACAAACATTATAAGGGTTATTGTCTCAAATTAGTCGTATGAAGGCTTTTACTGGTCAGCAGCACTGAGTGCCTTTCGTTATAAGGCTTTACATAAAAATGACGGAAGCATCAATGTAAACTTTTTATCAATAAACATTTAAATTTTGCTATAATTGAAATTCTATGTACAGATTATTAACAAAAATGCCAAATAATTATAAACAAAAAAACAAAGCAAACACTTACTTAAAGCAAGCTTGTCTACATGTCTACGTAATCTATTTACACATGTATTTGACACGATTTTGTCATGACTTTTTACTTGGTCTTACTGAGATAGAAAATCTTGTGTGGTTGTGTATATATGCTATATAGAAAACTCATCTCGCGTTTCCATCCTTGCCGTGTCTAGATATAATATAGTCCGGTAATTGGTATTACAAGCAGATATATCGGGCATAAATATAACATATTTACCCACCAGTCTTTCATTGCGTAAATTTGTATAAACTTATGTTTTTCAAAGATTTTAAAGATATGCTATGATCATCCTTGAGTAGAACATACTTAAATCATAGACATTTGTTGAATACTATGAAATTCTTACTCAATATGTCTAATTTGAATAAAAGAATGAATAAACTATGTAAGGGAAGCTGCGTTCCCTATTACAGGTGCAGCAAAGTTTTTCTTTATAAAAAAAACCTGCCAGTTTTTTAATGACATGTTTATTTTATGCTTTTCACTGGATTACTGCTTTATCCGTGAAATTATATTTGATAATTTCACAGTGAAATTTATTAAACTATAATTTCACACTTTTCAATAACGAAACTACTTTTTTCAAGTTTTTCCCCATGTGGTACCTCAATTTTATTTTTGCTGACAAATCTGACATTATCAGGGCAGTTTAGAGAAACGCAAAGCTTAACTTGATAAATAACTTGAATTTTAAAAGTAATAAAAAAGAAGAAAACTTTCTTTAATTCATTGAATTAACCAATCACCAAATATTGTCTCTAAATTTTTTGTTTCGTTTTTACAGTCTGAAAAATACAATTCCTTCCACGTGCAAAACTGCTCTTGAGGACATTTGGGCATGTTTAAGTATCCTACGAGCAATAACTGTTTAATGCAATATGAAAACTTGAAACGCAATGACAGCCATCAGCCCGAAGAATAAGTAAACAACCCATATGGCAGCCTTTCAACAATTCCATGTTTTCCAATTTCCTAGCCGCTTTTTGAATGCTTACACATCTGTCAACACTCATTTATTGTTTGTAACAATCCTCAAATAAGTTTTCTTTCTTCTAAAAAGATATAAAAATGTATCACTAAGAAATCCCGTGAATTAAACACAATTATTTTCCTCCCGTGAAATACACAACTTTTAAAAATGACGGCCGCTGACATTTTACAAGGCCAGGTCTAATATAAATTCGCAATAAGTAACGAAAATAAGGTCGGATGGTGTGACTTTTTCTTCTACTAGACTCGTTGTTTTCATTATTAACACAAACGATCATTCATGTTTTTTTTTCAATAAAATATATAATAATATCACCGCCATTTAACGTTGATGGTTGAACTTATTTTTCAGCCCAAAGACTTCTTGTATTTTATGAAAAATTCGACTAATAGAGGCTCTCAGTTGGGAAAACAGATTTTAATATTAAAGTTAATATTAAGGAAATTTCGTTTTAACTTGTTTTTAAGCAAAAAATGAAACGAAATTTGTTTGTTTGTTGTGTAAGATGTAATTTTATTTCATTTCGTGAACTTTTAAAAACAGCATTCGTGAGAATACTGTGTTTAAAGCCCACTCGATCAAATAAAATTTCATCTTACACTCACACAAACAAATATCCTCTATATATTCATATTGTGACTACCTATAGTTAGTAGAATTTAAACTTAACATACATAATTTGTATGAAGTCAAAAAATATATTTAATTCATATTTACAAAGAAACTGCATAGCAATTATCAATATTTTCTTATTTAATATATCTTTAAAATAAAGTTGGGATTTAAAACTTGTAATTTATTCACTGTCTATTTTATATCATTTGACCTCGGTAAACAATTGTTATGACTGCGGTGTAAACTTGACGAATAAGTTATTTGCATAGAGCTGGAATTTGGGATTTCAAGGGAAGGACAAAAAGTCAAACTATATATGATTTTATTATTTACATAATTATTTACTTTAGGTTAAATATTTAAAACGGTAAATTGTGGATATCAACGTTTCCCCCACATAAAATTACTCCAACTTTTCGCGACGGACCGGGTACCAGCTTGTCTAGGTCACGTGACATTGCTGCAGAAATGGTGGTTCCAGCAGATGGTTCTACTACCAGCTGAAATATGACAAATTGAAAACTGCAATGCTGCAAAGACGGTCACTCTATGAACACATAAACAAAATAAAAAAAACTCAGGTAATTATTATTTTAAATGCTAGAAAAAATCGTACATTTTTGAAACGGAAATATCTCGTTTTCAACCTTGTCATCTTTCACTTTCAGACAAGTAAATGATATCCAAGCGAAAGAATTATTTACGTCATATAAAGCTGTATTTGATGCCATTAATCATATCTGAATTGCTCACAGTGAGTTTTATCTATTGTTGTCAACAACGTTATACAAATTTTCAACAAAATTTATATTTTAAAGATATCATACACGCTATTGATGCAAAGCCTTTGTCGTAGAATGTAATTTCATAAGTAACGGCTTTTAAATTCTGAATATTAAATGTAAACAAAGTTTCGAAATATTTTTACTATATTTATATATTAAAGTCAAATTTATTTATCCATATGCTTTCATCCATATGCTATCATTGTAAGGCTGATAGGGGGATGCTTCCCGACCCCTACCATGCCATTTACGGGGGAAATTAATGGGAACACCACTAATTGCTTGGTAACCGAAGTGTAAAAAGGTAAATAAACGGCAGTGCACGGTTATCTTCGAGTCAGAGAATCCGGTCTGTACCAGCAACCGACACAAGATTATTTTATATGTATGAACACAATCGCAAGCAATAATAAGCTTTTGGATGACATTTTTAACAAAAACAAAAACATGACTTAAAAAATAAACTTAATTAGCTTTTACCTTCATATGTTCAAAGGCATACTTCATTCCTTCAATTGCTTCATCGTCAGTCTGTAATGTTAACAAAACAGAAATTTATGGAAGACCGCAACAGTCTTATTTAAAATGTTTTACTTTTGTGTAGAAATACATGTACTTGTCATTTTTTGTTCTGGTTCCTGGTAAAAATCCCTCGAAATTTCGTCATCAAAATTATGGTTATGTCAGAACCTGGTCTGAAAATACCGTGGTCAAAATTTCGAGTAACTGCTTTAAAAGCTGTTAGGCCCTATAAATAAGTGATAATTCTTTTTGCTGTAACTCATGGCATAAAATTTAGAAAGTATAATAAATCACGAGCAATATAAAAACCACTTAACTTAAAATATTGGCATTCTAAAAACATAATAATTCTAAAGGACTTATTAAAATCTAGAACTTTTAAAAAATCAATGTTTATACTGTAGTATCTGCGACAAACCGTTCCGACAAACACACATCATAACTAACTATGTCACAATGCGACAATAATATCATTCCAATTACTTTCCCATATTTAACATATATCTCCTGCTTTAATAATTCTTGTATCTAAACATATTTCTACAACATACCACAGTAAACACGTGTTTTTCTGCCAGTTCAAGGACGATTGGCCAAGTTTTTGTCCCGAGCTGCTGCATTCGCATACCATCAGCCACAGTGTCCAGGCATCTAGGAGGATTTGGCCAAAGACGCTCGCCTAAATAGATACAATATAAATCCGCGACTTTAGAAAGGATATACAAAATAATGACCTCAATATAAAAGAGTTTCCGAACTGTTTACATGTTTATTATTTTTGGGGAATTAACTTGTGAAAATGGTTTATTTTGTCTGATTCTATGTCACACTCTTGACTAGTTTTATGTTTCACAAAATGTATTTAGATAAATGAAATATAAGGAGTGATGCGCATCGCCTCCTTATGTGCATGTGCTTTTAATTTAACTATACGGCGGTACGATATCCCTAAAAGTGGACTCCGCAGTAATCTGTCATAGTTGCGAACTCAAAAGTTAATACGTGAAGTGCAAAATAATTTTGCGGTTTAATATGCACTGAAACTCAAGATTTCAATATTTATTCAATACTGTCATGGTTTAAAAGAACATGTGACATAAAATACAAAATTGTGAACATGTAACAACCGAAACACAGAAAAATACACATAAAAATAGACATAAAAACAGGAGAATGAGTGACAATTATATTGTACCCGTAAAATAAAATAAAGATATGATTAGATTTTAAATAATAACCGGAATTTATGCTTCATTAAATTTCAAGGAGACTAATGATGCAACATTATACTCATTATTTGCATGTTGTGATTATCTCTTCACAAAATAAAACAAGGTTTTTTTTAGATGTGACTTGTCTTTAATATTCATAAGATCTTCAAATTTCAATGCATTAGGATACCTATAATAATACGCTTTAATAAATGTACGTCTACTATTAACACAATGTGAACAATAAAATAGATAGTGAAATCCGTCACCTAGTTGGTTTGACTCACATAAAGTACATATACGTAAATATCTCTCTTTATTTAGGAATCTACCTTTCTCAATTCGCATTTTATGATTCATACATCTTAATTTCAATAAAGCTGAAAAGTTGCCAAGGAAGTATGTTAAAATAATCTTCAAAAACTCTACCTGCAACTAAACTTTTCTGTAAGTCTTTCCCATCTGGTTCAACTGCAAATACTAGAAAGATAGCAGAAAGACATTAAATTTTGATTTCAAATAAGTTAGATGGCTGCAAATAAATCAAAATATATGTTCCTGAGTTGCGCTTTTTCGTTTATGAGTTTTAAATATTTATGGTCAAAGTGATTCTTTCCATTAGGTTGTTCAACACCGAAGTAAAAAAAATGTTCAAATAATAAATTACAATGTAAAAACAAATAACCCCTCAGCAATAAATAAATAAATAAATAAACGTTAATTACTTTTTATTTTCGGATTAATACTCTTTGCAGCAACACAAATGCCGGCGATCATTCCCCCGCCACTTGTCGGAACCAATATTGCATCCAAATCAGGTACTTGTTCTAAAAACTCCAGCGCTATAGTTCCCTAGATAAGAAAATATGCAAGTCAATAAGTTATTTAAATCAAACACATGTTGAGCGTGTAAATCATTTCAGGTTTTTTTAAATAGATAAAGATTGTATATTGTACGCTTCCATATAAATGTATGTTATTCTCCTCAATATAATAACTATTTCAATAATACAAAACCACAGTTATATATATGAGCTTGTATGCATGTGAATTCTAACAGACTGATTAACTTAAGACTATAGAAGCATGTTACCGTTGTGATCATAATACATTAGGTAACGTAAATATTGCTAACAAAACATGCACTGATATTTTCACATATTATTGACGTTTTACCAATGGAACTGGTGCGGTGTTGAAATTTGCATATGCACATTCAACATCAATATTGAGTACAAGTAATATATTTATTTAAACGTGCACATATTATATTTTTACAATTACTTTTAAAAAAGTACATGATCGTATATGACGGCCATCTGTAGAACATTAAGCTCTTTACAAAAACAGTTTCATTCTTTACAAATGAAAGTAAGACTTCACAATAGATTTATAGTCTCTACAGCAACACTCATCAGAAACCACCAAAATCTTTGTCTCCCAAAGGGTGTTGCTTTTATATACATAAAGAGATGGATTGCAATGAGCAGAAATATAAATTGATAAGATTATGCTATAAATCTGAAATTGCATTAGATTAATAAAGGATATTAAATAAGTGTAGATTCACGCAATACTGAATTTATTGAACGAGTTGTATAAAATTATTCTATGAGAGCCTCTGGGAAGCATAATATTATTTTTATCCAATTTGTTCTATAAATTTAGTATTGAATCTCTCCGAATATATAGAGGATATTCAAGTTTTTTCTATAAATACATGATTTATTTTCATCGAGTGGTATGAAAATAAATATTTCATGAGTGGCGGTAGCCGAGAGTGAAATATGGTAATTTTCATGCCACAAGATGAAAATAAATCATGTATTTATAGAAAAAACTTGAATTTTCTGTTTATTATATACATTTTTCTCTTTCTGGACATTAAAATTTGCAAGATTCCCCTTAAATTTTGAGTACTGGCAGAATTTAAAAGAAAGTAGTCCGGCAAGACACCAGTGAAAATACGGAAAATATGTTTCACTGCAGTGAAAAATAAATTTTTACAGTGAAAATACGGAAAATGAAAATACGCATTTTATTTCATCAATATTTCTCAATATTTCATTTAAAAGTATATAATAAAATATTTTATTTATCAAAGAAACAAACATAAGAATTGTAAACATGGAAAACAATTTCGTTTGCGCCTATAGTTTTAGCACGTCTTTACGATGTGTTTGTATAACGTAAATGACGTCACGTCAAAATGTATGCCCGGCCGTGCAATGCCGTTTATTACGAATGTCATTTTATCAAATACCCGTGCCGCTTTTGCGACTCAAAATAGTATTGCACGGTTGTGCATATATCTTGACATCACGTCAGTTCTCAATTTTAGGTATGCGATAAAAATGTAGCTCCATTACTAAATTTACTGAACTCGTTGAATAAAATAATTTATTATATACTTATAAATGAAATATTGAGAAATATTGATGAAATAAAATGCGTATTTTCATTTTCCGTATTTTCACTGTAAAAATTTATTTTTCACTGCAGTGAAACATATTTTCCGTATTTTCACTGGTGTCTTGCCGGACTACTTACTTTTAAATTCTGCCAGTATACAAAATTTAAGGAAAAGTCTTTCAAATTTTAATGTCAAAAAAGATAAAAATGTATATAATAAACAGAAAATTCAAGTTTTTTCTATAAATACATGATTTATTTTCATCTTGTGGCATGAAAATTACCATATTTCACTCGTGGCTACCGCCACTCATGAAATATTTATTTTCATACCACTCGATGAAAATTAATCATGTATTTATAGAAAAAACTTGAATATACCCGCCAGAGCCTCGAATAATAATATTTATTACAATGTATATACTTTGAAATGAAATATTGAGAAATATTGATGAAATAAAATGCGTATTTTCATTTTCCGTATTTTCACTGTAAAAAAAATATTTTTCACTGCAGTGAAACATATTTTCCGTATTTTCACTGGTGTCTTGCCGGACTACTTTCTTTTAAATTCTGCCAGTACTCAAAATTTAAGGGAATGTCTTGCAAATTTTAATGTCCAAAAGAGAAAAATGTATATAATAAACAGAAAATTCAAGTTTTTTTCTTGTGGCATGAAAATACCATATTTTACTCGTGGCTACCGCCACTCATGAAATATTTATTTTCATACCACTCGATGAAAATAAATCATGTATTTATAGAAAAAACTTGAATATCCTCTATTTATTACATGCTTTTCGGTGGTTTATAGAAATATATCAGTGATATAAAACTGGTAATTTCACTGTTTGAAACAGTGAAATTACCACTTTGATAATTTCACTGTTTTGAATTTAAGCCATTGAAAATTTAATATAAGCGTGCCCAACTTAATGACGTGACGTCGTAAATGACGTCAAGTTGTATTATCATTTGGCGCGCTTTTCATTCAGTATTAGGTTAAATGTCTTTTTAAAACGTTTCTTTGTATAAAATAAAAAGAAAATTTGTTTAGTTTAGTGTAAGATTGAAATATATTTTACCTTGTGAACACCAAAATTCATATTTCACTCGTGGCTGCGCCACTCGTGAAATATACCTTTTGGTGCTCGCTCGGTGAAATATATTCCGATCCTACACTGAAAACTAAACAAATATCCTCTATATATTCGTGATTTTTTTATTTAATTTTGACAGACCTGACCTGCCATAACAGTGTAATCGTCACATGTTGATATGTATGTGTAGCCTCGTTCATCCTGTATTTGTCCTACTTTTCGTAATCTATCAAAAATAAAAGAACAGTCGGTTGGTGGATATTGAATCTTAGGGTTAATAAAAATTCAAACCGATTGCAAGATTCCCATACAAACTTTCTTTTAATAAAGCAATTATTTTCACTATTGATTTCTGGTAATTTATATTCTTACTACATAATAATATAACCTATTAACAAATTAATGGACCGCCAGTTCAAACCCCCGTGACTTCAGTCATACAGAGTTTCCTTAAATGCTTGTAAAACTAAGAAATCTATCTCGAAACTTTCCGTTAAACCCCGGATTGGTAATTGACGTTGGTGGTCTTCCGAATCAGCTTTCTTACTTTAAAACAGACACGAATGCGACAAGCTCGATCAAATGAAACTGGGAAAGTGACCATATGAACATGTGTCGAATCAGAAACTAACATCAAATGCATAGATAGAAATAATTTTTTCAATCACCTGTCATCTAGAGTTGGTTCACACGGCACTGTATCAGCTCCTAAGTTACGGATGATCTGTAGTTTGGCTTCCGGCACTGTTGTAGGGCAGACGACAATACAAGGTAAATTAAAACTCCGTGCAATCCAAGCCATGGCCCGACCATGGTTCCCGCTACTGTGGGTCACCTTAAAATATTTATATTTATATATTTATAAGTTCTTTTTTTCATACGTTAAGAATATATGAGAAAGTGTTTTTGTTTTGTTTTTAAGTCACTTTCGATAATGCATGCTCTCAAATGTACGTGAAAAATAATACAAACCGACTTTATTCTATTATGTGGGCTTGTCTAATTTTAATTTAGGATTTTGGAAATGTTTTGTCTATATAACTTAAGGTCTTCAGCGTACCCGTTTATATAATATACATGTATGAAATGACGTACCGCATCAGATGAAAAACAAAAATGTTAAAAAGCGGCTTATAAAGATTTGGAAGCCAGAACTATCGCTTATACAGAATTTATTTGAGTTCAATTCTGTAACATGGAGAAAAACAACAACATCAAAAATACCCACTCGAATCCGTACTGGATCCAGCCAGTTCTAAGCAATAAGCATGGTAACAATGGCTTGCCAGTAACGGAGTTTAAACCTTAAACAATTTCTGTTCTAAATTCAAAGTACATGTAGGTTAATGGTTAAAATCTTACCAATCCTTTCAAATTTTCTCCGTTTTCTCGCAACGTTAGGACCTGAAATAACAATCTGAAAGTCAGTGCTATCATTCACTTCATATACATATAAGTATGTAGACAATCATAGTAAAATGGATACAAGTTTACAACTTATATCAACATAAACCTTTCACATTTACAAATATTCGATGAATGTTGAAGTCGGTTAATTCTCTTTTGATATAAACTTAGGAAATTCTTGGACAGACATCTTATTGAAATAAAACTATTATATTGTCATATGTGATAATTTTCTTACAGGAAAAAAATATGATAACGGAATGCTCATCTTCCAGTCAATGTGTTGAATACTATACGTAACAATACTTTATTCTGCAACTTGCAAGGAAAAGCGTGTCACTTTTTGTATTTATTATTTATTTAACTTTTAAGAACAGATCGAAATACATTTTGGAAAATTGAAGGACTGATTTTGGCCTACTTTACGGTAATTTCCCCTCTCTTTTATGAAAATGGTATATAAAGAGAAATAATTTTCATAATAGTAAAGCATGACTGTATTTTATTATTAAATGCCGTCCATTAGTAGTCACTTGTTTTACAAGTACATGTATTAATCCATCGTCGGTTACTCACGGTACATATTCCGCACATACTACATTATCTAATGTAGTATGTACGGAATATATACCGTGGGTATTAACCATTACCAAGTATGGACTTGTGCATCTTTCAATCTGGGAATATTTTGTGACAGTGCAGACCAAGCCGTCAATCGTGCCGACTGATGTTGGTCGGCACTGATCACACGGGTAAAATTAATCGCGGGAGAATGACATTCTATGACATTTGAGTAAATATTGCCAATTTTTTATTATGCAATACTTTTATTTAAAATATCAGCGGTTGTAAAATGTATAAAGTTTGTATGGCGTATCGAAATTGCTCAACTAATTTGATGAAATTGGTTTTCCACGCGTGTAATTAAAACATGTGTATCGTGTGTGCAAAAGGTGTTGCATTCTTTGTGTTTATTTATAGCATAGAGTGGTACATTTGCCGTTATTTTTTAATCATTTGCTTCTATTAATTTTTTCAATTATTGATAGAATGTCAATCTCCTGTGAATTAATCAGCAGGCCTAATGAAACAGCGACATCTTTAGTCAAAAACCTGTGCTAAAATTTGCTGAAATATTTATCTTTTTAATCTACAGAAACTGAAAAAATGAACATATATTCTACTTACAGCATTTAAAGCCCCTCTTATTTTAAAAGCTCCGGTCTTTTGCATGTTCTCTGCTTTAAAATAGAACTTTCCTCCGTATTTTTCATCGAAGTCGTCATCCTGGAATACTGGAGTTTTTTTAACGACGGATTTTATCCTGCTATATGCTTCCTTAACATCACTTAATTTAACATGTGGTATTTTCTCTGTACTCATGGCGTCAAGTTATATTACTCATAAGTTAAATCTACATGCATAAGTTTATTATCTGGCTTTAATACACGACGTGTACTTAAGTCACGACGAATGACACACAAATGTATACTGTTAAATATCAACTGTAGACAACTACATATTAAGTTCTTTATCTATATATTTACCATCACGGCTAAAATCATGTACTCACCTGCTATGAATACAAATGTATATGGAATGCACGGCTGATTTTTTATCAATATTAACTGTAGATTTCTCTCCCTTGATAATGCCAAAACGTATACCAGTGTTACTCCCCCTTAATGCTACATAAACTCAAGCAAGTGTTGAATCGATTTTTTTCTCGATTTGAATTCATCCCATAATTTTGCTGTTTAAGTGGTTTATATGCAGTTTTCTTAATAATTTAAAGATTCATTTACATTGTATCTTTTTAATTTAAAATTGAGTCTTAAGACTCATTTTAAGTCCCACATTTATATGTATGTAAAGAGCACTCCAAGATAAAAATTAGAAGATAAAAAATGAAAGGGGATTTAAGTGCTTAATCATGGCAAATCATAACGTGACTCCATTAAATGTTCTAACAGTACTAAACAGCATATGTCCATTTACTGAGATTTTCACAAGCTGTACAGTTTTTAACCACCAGAAATGTAAACTTGACTGACGGATTTTAATTGACAAAGTCCGTGCTTGGCTTCACGCAAAAATATCGGATCGAAATCGTCAATCGATAATAATGGATACTTGTGACACTTATACTTATGATAATAATAAACAATAACCAATCACGTGCATGGAACTACGTTCAAACAGACAAATTCATATTGAAAAGGCAGTCTTATTGCTATGTACATGTATAATGAATTAAAGTGAATGCAACAGTCTTGGTAACAAGGCAGCAATAAATCGTAACGGGGTATTAAGCCTACATACATGTTTGGGGAATTAATTCTAAACCCAACACTAAGGCTACATATAGATAGAACTTAAAGAGCTGTTTGGAAAGCCTTTTGCAGCGACGCCTTATTTATTTTTTCCGATAGTAAAGGTTATGGTAAAATTGTGTTAAACAAAAAAAATTAAAAAAAATTAAATCAAATAAAACAGAGACCTCCCGGCCAAATTTGTCTTCAAATCCATACTCAGCGAAAAAAGTTTGTAACCAAACTAAATTTAGTGACAATGATGCTGTACTAAACTAGTACGAGAAAACAAGAAACGCGACCTTACTTCTCCATTTAATGATATTTAGACAAAGAAAAGTAGTACCAACATTGTTCTTAACAATGACGATAAAACGTTACTCTGTAGCCATTGTTTTGAAAGAAACTGTATTCTCTGAAATACAAATACCTTTAGTACATGTTAATGAGCAGATGGAAGCTATCGTTGCTGATGTACTAGCAGGTTTGAATAAAAAAATCAACAACTGGATAGTGAAAATGATGACTTGCGACAGCATGGATCGCATAGATAAATCAAAAATAGACGCTCATAATAGTTCACAATAAAGCAAGCGAAACATATTACTAGTAATGAGCCTGGCGCCATGTTGAAAGATATTTCAAAGTACGAACCCACGAAAGATATTTCGAAGTAAGAACCTACTGATTTTAAAATTGCCGAAATCGCAGAAGTACTAAATGCTGAAGTGTCATTTAAGGACATTGACAGGTCTCATCGTATAGGAGTTGTCAGTCCCAACAAACCCAGGGATATCAATGTAAAATTTAAATCATACAGAAGGAGGAACGTCCTGTATATGGTTAGAGTGGCTATCAAAGGGTATTTATCAATGAATCCTTAACACAGATACGCTCGTCTCTCTTCTACAAGGTCAGGCAGGCAGGTAGTAAAAAGTCGGTTCTTAAATGGCGCCTGGACATACGATGGTAATATTATGATTAAAGATGTCAGCCATAAGATACACCGTATTATTAATTTATCTGAACTAATACAACACAAAGCGGAGCACCTCTTCCATCAACTTATATGTAAGCCGCCTAAATAACATATAAATATCATATGTCTTTTTCAAGTGTTTCGAAGTTTTTGCGAGAAGTATATTCGTGTTAATGATACAACGCTACTGTGTATGAAGTGTATCATTGATAATTATTATCTCATAATCGTTGGCCGTACACCTATAATTTCATATTTAATGATGTGTCCTTAACTAAATTAAAACTGGTAATGCTTGATTGAATACAAAAAGGTTTTAAAAATGAACTTAACAAACTGAACATCTTAAGAGAGATGTATTCATTTTTACAAAATTGCGATTGTTATCAATTCAACATGTTTGAAGACTCTCGGTTGTCTCCCATGTACTACTGGTTCACAAGAGTTCATGAATTTTATTTGTAATTGATAATATATTGTTATTATTTAAATCACGATGATTTGTTCAAAATGATTTATAACCTATTCAACTATAACACACAAGAGTACCTCGAGATTTTACTTAAACTTTCATCGTACTTGCTGATACATGTATATCTACACTTGTAGTTAGTGTTCTTCATTTTAAGGTATCTACTATAGCATTAGATTGTGAAGACAATACTAGATAAAGTAGTCTTTTAATTACTCAAGACTTATATGTAAATACTTAATCTTGTTCAGTTACATTCTGCTATTATTTCAACACTTTTACGTCTACTTGTTCTTTAATATACAATTTGGACTGACTATTTGCTTATTTTACTAAATGTAACTACTTGCTAATATCTATACAGTTTCAATTGACTACACGCTATTATAATCTACAGTTTTAAGTTACTACTTAATATTATTACTACCTTTTCATGTTACCACTTGCTATAATTTACTTAAGTTTCAAGTGTGACTGTTTGCTGCTATAACTTCAGTTTCAAGTGCTACTGCTTGTGATTGTTACTTCAGTTTCAAGGGTGACTGCTTGTGGTTGTTACTTCAGTTTCAAGTGCTACTGCTTGTCATTGTTACTTCAGTTTCAAGTGCTACTGCTTGTGGTTGTTTCTACAGTTTCAAGGGTGACTGCTTGTGGTTGTTACTTCAGTTTCAAGTGCTACTGCTTGTCATTGTTACTTCAGTTTCAAGTGCTACTGCTTGTGGTTGTTTCTACAGTTTCAAGGGTGACTGCTTGTGGCTGTGACTACAGTTTCAAGTGCTCCTGCTTGTGGCTGTGACTACAGTTTCAAGTGCTACTGCTTGTGGCTGTGACTACAGTTTCAAGGGTGACTGCTTGCTATTATTACTACAGTCATGTGACCAATTTCTATTATTTTTTTCTACATTTTAAAGCGGGACTGCTTGGCGTTAAGTACTATCACTAGTCCAAGTGACCGCTTGTTATTATTTTCTACAATTTCTACATGCTAATATTTCTACAGTTTCAAGTCATTACTTGATAATTTATTATTACTCAATTTTTATGTGATTATATGCTGTTATTTACTACAGTTTAAAGTGTAACAAGTGCTAGAAGAGTAAACTGCACTAGCAAAGATGCCCTATATAGACTTTACACTCTCCGAAATGTGTGTTTATTCATACTGTTAGTTAAATATTTATCTATTTCAAACTGAATACAACACAAATGTTTTTATGTCTATTTTTTTTTCTTCTTTTCATTGTTTATCAGAATATATACAACATATCGCATCAACTAAAATAGTAAAAAATACAAATAACTACTACTGAATGATTTACTTGATAACATTGATATGAAAAACCCTTATATTAACAATGAACTGATCCCAACTAAAAAGTCAGACAAGTCCAACACACAAACATACAGGGGTAAAGGTAGATCATAGGGATATCACAAAATCCTTTCAATGGTTTGGTATAAAGTGAAGCTGACACTTAAAAGGTCATTTAGGATTTTCCAGCTTTATTAGTTGAGGAAGACCTCTTATTTATACAGTTGATTATCAACATTCCCATAAACTGACTAGATAGCTTCTTCATATGGAAGAATCCAAAGTCCATGGTTGGAATTAATGTTAAAGATGAAAAGAACAGGCAATAGTACACTTAAACAACTCTGCCAAGTTCTCCATAGCATTTCACAAACTTGATGTAAACTATAAGAAAAAATACTCCTTTCTTTTTTTCTTTCTCACTGAGAGAATATTTCACATAAATCTCCTTAAGTAAGCCACTCTTTGCATTTTAAATGTCCATAAAAAACAATCCACTCTCCTAACGTTTATTATGAATTGTAATATAAACAATGTTAGAAGTATACTAGTCATTTACAGCCTCCCTTTTACTGATTCTGCTCAGCAGAGGAATTGTGAAGATCCATCATTTTTTTCTATTCTGTTAACTTCACTTCATTCCAATTATTACAGACGGACAGACAGATAGACAAACAGACAGACAGCTGAATCAATCTGTACTATTCATACTATAGCATGATGATCAAAATATCTGTAAGCTTCAAACTGTCCAATCTTTTTATCTTTGGAATCGTAATTCAGGCACCGGAAACAATTTTCGCAGAAAAAACAGGGGTCTTCTGGTGTAAACTTATTTCCATAGGTTATCCATCTGAAATTAAAAATAAACAACTTCAACTTTTTGTAACTACATAAGCTGTATACAAGAAAAGCACAATTACTTTCATTTCTTAATAGTGCAAAAAAAAAAGAAGAAAAAAGAAAGCAAAAACATAATGTTAACAGTACCATAAGAAATATCTAAAATGGACTCCTCTTTATCATTCAATATGATGTACCAGACCACTAATTATTTTTGAAAATTAAAATTTAGACTGAAAAATGAACAGTGCAGACCATGATAAGATGGCATGAATGTGCTGGATGCTCTTGGTCTGAATTGGTCACATGGTCTGCAGTAGTCACATGGTCTGCATTGGTCACATGATCTCTACATGCTTCAAGTGAAACCCTTTACCAACTGCGCTAAGAGGGATTTTCAATTTACACCAGTTTAACAATTGGATAATTACAGTCATATCGATTTACAAGTAGATCATAATGTTTACGGAATATACCAACTTCAGGGTCAAATGCAAGAGTGCCAGGTCAATGTTGTTGGACAATTAACATTATGCAATTCTTGACCAAATATAAAAAAAAATATGATCTAGAATTAAAATAAAAAAAATAATGTGAAGAAAAGATTTGAACCTGGCTGCTTGATTGTTGCAAACACGGCACAATGTTCTCTGTCGATTACATTTACCAACCATGTAAGGATACATCCGTATATCCTGGGGATCCTCATATGTTAACAGTCTGAAAATGAAGATCAAAACCTACTTATTTGCTACATATAACTTCATTTCAATAAATGACATACTATATGTGACATGCTACACAGATTTTCTTTTAAAATGCAACTTAATTCAAAATACAGTTATCGATTTTTTTTCAATTTGCCTCTTCAATTTACAAGTGAAATGTTATGTAGCCCATATACAACATAACATTTTGGTGCCATTGCATCATTCAGACCTTACAGGTACCAATTTACACATGGGCAAAGTGTAGAAATGTAGAGTTCACAATGAATTTAAAAGTGTTACTATCAGAAATCGAAATTGAGACTTGTCTTTCCCAAAGTGTGTTTCCTACCCTTGTTAATTTGTTTGGATTAATTTGGTAACACAATTTTGGTCATATGGCGCCAAAACAGGAAAGATGGATAGACTCCAGTAATTTGTATGCGTTCAGTGAATAAAGAGGTGACTAAGTTCATTGTAATTTCTGCAGTCTATGCATCTCTACCTCTAGCAGGTCAGGTGGTTTTAAACACCTTGTGTTGCTTTTAAGTTTGTAACTCAAGGTTGGCCAAATTCATCTTTCCTGTTTCAATGTCTTATGACCTAAAGTGTGTAGGTGCAACATAAAACCAAACATAACAAACTAAAGTGGAAAGCACTGTGAATTGTGTCCAGGTCACCAAGGCTAAAATACCATAAATTTTCCTCCTTTACCTCACAGTTAAGTCAATTCTTCAGTAGCTTTTTTTCAAAGTCGATGTGACATTGGGGTGCATTCATGGCTGTCAATATTATTTTCTCTCTTCGAAGACAAGAGTAAAACAATTATTCTCTTATCTACTATTGCAATAAAAATGCAACAAAATCTTAGTGCGTTTGCGTTCAGAATCGATCCAGAGCAGCCTATGCATCCGCGCAGTCTGATCAGGATCCATGCTGTTCGTTATCAGTTTTCCTACTTGTAATAGGGTTTGTAAGCGAACAGCATGGATCCTGATCAGACTGCTCGGATGCACTATGTCGGTTTTGTCATGGCGCAGCTCATATTTTTATTTTTTCTGTATCATTTTGTTTCTCCGTTTCAGTTAACATACCTTACATCTGTAAAAATGAGCAGATGCTGACAGTCTCCCTGGTGCATGTACAGATACGGCTTCCCTAGTTTAATAGTAAGGTCAAGGAATGTTGTGTCCTCCATCTTCTTTGTGTCAAAAATCTTGCTTTTATTCTTCTCTCCAAACCACTCCCGGATCTCTCTTTGAAAATACAAATGTACACAGGTCATGGATATGCTGTTATAGATGTTCTGATTGAAAGTAACAAACTAACAAATGTTGAGATACATGTACATGTAATAAACGGTAAAAGCAGAAAGGTTTGATTACAGACAAAGAATACATTCAAAAGATTTAGAGAAATGTAACCTTTTCATTTTTTTTCAATTCATTTAATCTTACATCATATTCCATTCCATTCAAGTGCATAAATAGCTCATTGGCTAATACATCGTTTAATGCTGTAATCTCTGTGGGTTTTATGTTTTGTTTTTTTTTTAATAAAAATTATCTGGGGCATCATGGTCATACTGTTAAGGTATCGGAAAAACCACTAGCACTTCACTGTTGTGGGTTAAAATCCTATCTGGGACTTTGAAAATGTTCATGTGAGCTATCCAGCTAGCTTTCGGAACATCTGTGATTGTAATCAGGGGCCGAGGTTATAAAGAAATATTTTAAACTCAAACTCAGGTTTCAGGTATTTGATTGGTCACAAACAGGCACAGAATGAAATGGACCAATCAAAATCCTGAAATTTGAGCTTGATCTCAGGAAAAGGTTTCATAACTTTGGGGCCAGGTGTCTACTCACGCCGGAGGGGGCACCTAAGGTCTTCCTTGACAGTCACCATACATAATTTTAGAATCCTAAGCTTTGCTTGTAGTTGTACAAAAACCAGTGACCATTAACACATGTATTCTCTACAGTTTGATAATTGATATCTGACATTAATATATGGTCATTTGTCTCTCACGAATGAGTCAGAAATCATGGAAGGTTAGTAGTCAGTCACACACAAAGAAATTGGTAACTACTGCATTTGTTTTGTACCCAGGAAAGCCACTTAGGGGATTCAATGTTGCATATATGACCAGAAAAAGTGTTTAAATTGGCATAAAACATCAACAAACAAACATAAACTATACAGGTAGAACTTACTTGCTATAATCCCTGGAATCATCTTCTCTCATGTCATTGTAAAATGTATCATTGATAAAGAAAAAGCCAGATTTGAACACATCCTGTAAATATACTACTTGTATTTAACTTGCATTCCAAATAAACATAAGGAAAATAATATCTATGCAAAAAAAAAGTTTTTTGTTATAAAAAAACAACAAAAAAACAAACAAAAAACACACCATGTTCTAAATCTGTTAATCCATAAACTGCTAGAACCAAAAAATGTTAAGTTTTCACCATCAGTATGGATTCAGGCCAGTTTGCACATCCGTATAGTGTGACCATAGTTGGCCAACTAACTTGAAAATTTGAAGTCTTGACATCCCGAAAAATTGATAATGGGCAGTTCCAATATAAGATCCTGGACAAGTTCATTTAATAAATCCAACTGGATAAGGGTTCAGTCATAATTCATGTCAGTTCGAAACATTTGTACAGAAGTATTTTGTGTCACAATCATTTTTCAGTAACATATCAATGCTTTTGAAAATATCTTTTTCCGATGCAAATATTTAAAACTGCATGCCTCCAGATTAGCCACAATATTTCAAGAACTTGAAAAAATCATACCGAGATTATAAGAAAAGTAAAATGATTCAAGATAATAATAATTTCCATGTTATGTGCAATTATTGACCCATCTTGCAGTATTTTTTACCATATTTTTACTGCGTTTAGAGGAATTTTGCATATTTTGACCTCCTTCTGGTAATTTATATGGATTGTAAGTGCCGTTTGCAATGTGTAAATTATTTTCTTTTTCACTTCACAATATTTTACTTTTTAATACGATTTTCAAAATTTTCATGAAAATTAGCAGGTGTCTAGAGGCATGCTGCTTTAAAACTCTTTTAGAATCATGAAGCTTAATCACATACCCGTGCCCATTTTGTGACTCTGTAAAAACAGTATTGCGTGGCTGTGCATATATTTTGACATGAAATCATTTGCGTTATACAAACATATTGTAAAGACACGCTAAATGATAGTGTTAAACTATAGATGCGTCATTGAAAAGTGATTCTTTTTCACTTCAAACACTCTTTATTTTGGATTTGTGATAAATCGAATATTATATTCTTGTAATTTCAATACTGAATTTATTGAACTTGTTGAGTAAAATAATTTTATGCTTGCCACAGGCTCGCACAATATAACATAAGTCTTTATTCAACTTGTTCAATAAATTCAGTATTGAATTTACACTCATTCAATATCCTCTATTTATTCAATATAAAGTATATGTCTTTGAAATTCAAATGGCAAATATATCTATGTAGCAAGTTTATTGCATTTTCTAATTTAGAACTAGAGTAAATTTTTTACCTTAGTGTAAACTTGACTGTCTAAGTCGGGGTTCTCACTCAGATCCCCAGCAACTGTGAGGTCATATACACATCTAATCATATCTCTAAGATCTGTTAACTTCTGACGGCCAAGAACCAGTAATGTGTTTGACAAAAGTGGCTGGAAAATAAAATGGCGAATAAATAATAGTGTCTGAATAAAATTTAATAAACACTATTAGTTATCCACATGTAATTGAGGTACAAATTCAAGTTGATGAGGTACAAATGTATACCACTTAAGTCCTGTCCATAATATGAATCATGTCTAAAAATATTAAAATCTGCTTTTTGTAAATGTGTGTACAATTTTATTAGATTTTCATTTGTTTTTTGTTTCTTTTTGGCTAGTTCCATATGATATTTCATACACTTCATGGCACCAGAGTAGAACCATCAAACCTTTTGTAAGCAAGATGGAAAGTTTCCTTACTGGAAAGAATTCTCTTGTAGATTTGAATACTCTTTGGCAATAAACAGGGGCACTGTGTCTAATGGAGTTCTACATCATGTCAAATAAATGCATTATTTGCAGTCACTTATGGGCAATAACTGTGTTATCACCAATTTCATTTGTAAGTTATGCCCAGAGACAAGGATTAAACCTATTGACAAGTGCTGTGTGCAGGGATTTTTTTCAGGATTTTGGGAATATGACCTATGGAATTGGGACAAATTGCATGACTGAAATTTTGCAGTGATTAAATGAATGCAAACAATCACTGTATAGGATGGCATCTTCAAACATTTAAACATATTATTACAGAAAGGAACCTTTATTTTCAAAGATTTTAGAATTCTTTATTCAATATTTTAATTTGGTAACTTTCAATTCAGAATATTTTCCTGTGGATGGGGAAAATAATATACTATTTTCAATTGGGAATATGACCCAATAACGGCTATTAAATAAGCAATAAAAATCCCTAGTGTGATACATGCTTGATATTTCTATAGTATTCAATAATTATAGCTTTCTTGCACATAATGTATCTTAATACCTGTTTTTTTTTTAAATCAATGTACCTACAATTTCATGTTTTCCATGCTCATGATAATATTTCATCGCCATTTTTACTTTGTACGGTCTGTAGACATGTACAGTGAGAACAACATCAGGATATAGAACTTTACAATCATCAGGTACATCTTTATGTTTCTTCGGATCTAATCCAGGGTCGTAAGTCTGCAAACATTGATATAACAAATTTTTTTTTATTACAATATTTTGTTTGTTTCAAAGTTATCTAAAATTTTTGATCATGACATATAAATGGTCTATCTAAAAAGCAAATTAATACACTATAAAGGGACACTCTGATTGGCTAATGTCCATATGGGTAGGTACTGATCACGAGCAACAATTGCTTGAGATTTAATGTTTTCGGTGATATTTTCTTCGGAATGGACCTTGCATCTGTAATCAATGGATATTAAATTCTTCAACTGATGAAATAAAACTAATTAAACAGTACATATAAATCACTAACCATGATATTTTGGGTTACAAACTACCAGATTTGCAAGCTTCAAATGGCACACACATATTTTAAAACTGTGTGTCTTTCTTGATTTCTGCAGGAAGCACATCTATATAAATTAGTGCATGCATACCAAAATTTTGAAACTACAGCATATGGTTACCTTTTTTCCATTTATGCATGTTTTGTTTACCATTAATAAAATTTCATAAGTTTTTTTTTCTTATTTAAATGATTAAACTCTTACCAAATGTTCATCTGTCCGTCTGTATTTGAACTTTCTATATGTGGCATTCAGGAAATTAACATTCCGCTTTCTTTTCTCTAATTCTTGTTTCTGAAACCTGTTCATATCACAGAAATAATGCAAGGTTATAACAACACACACAAACAAGTATAAAAAAAAATGTTCCGTAGCAAAAAGTTATGCACCAGTTATTTGTCAAATTAGCCCAACTTGGGTAATAATGGCAGCTTTTGTATATACTTTTTAATAATCAAACTCCTTATTAAAGCCTGTCTTGGAAAACAGTTGAATGAGAAGGTTCAGTCACCCCAAAAGAAAGTTCAAGCTATTTTAAACAGCTTTATTTGGACTAATTAAGAAGTGAAAGAAAAACATATTTCATCATCAATCGAGTGCATACAAAGAGAAACACTGTTCTCCAGGTATAGGTATAGATTGGCTATATCAAATTTAGATTAAAAAGTTTTTTTCTACATTATTTCTGCATCAGTATACATGCTATATGAAGGACACATTGTATGCCATGATTGTTTCATGCATTAAGAACCCCCAACTTTACAAGCAGATGACAACTTACCTGACACACATTAATTTTGCATCATCAGGAATCTTTTCTAGATACTCCCATCTGTCATAGATTAATCTTTCTTCACCTTCAGGTTCAAGTAGGTCTAAACTGGAAGAATAGATAGAAAAGAATGCAGGGTTTTTAAAGAATCAGTTCCAAGTACAAAACTAGAAGGGTTTTTGTCACAAATTCTAACACAACCTGCATTTTTCCCTATTGAACATAGAACAACCAAACGTGAGTGTTATACAATAAAATCACTGTCTGACGTTCTATATTTAGACATGTGACATAATCATTATACACATGATGTAACCACTAAAAATGTGACGTGCTGAAAATAAGTACGGAAACAAATCAGGCGCAATTTAGCTTAATATCAGGTACGGCAGCATTTATTTAATTTTGTGTTAGAATCGAAATAATATATCCAAATTGGTGATTTTATTGCTTGATTACATCACTGTCTGTCGTTCCAATGCGCATCATTATATAACTCGGGCGACGACCTTGTGATATAATTCCTGTATTCGAACTCCAAACAGTGATGTTATTGAGCAATAAAATCACTCTTTGGGATATATTATTTCTTAAACATATGTTTCCCAAAACTATGAAATGTGCTTAAAACTTTACAACAGATTGTACTAGGTCTTCAGAAATTTAGCACATTCAAGGAAAATTTTCTTATTGTTATCATTTTCATTTTTGTTTAAAATAGTCCTTAAAACATAGAACTGGAAGTATACATGCAAATGGCTCATCATTTTACATTGTGAGCTTTGTTATTATATGAATTTTTGCCTACTTTCACTTTGGACAGCCTTGGTGAAAACAAACATGGCTGACAAAGCGGAATCAACTAAAAGACATAAATTCCTGTCCAGGCACATGGTACTGTATTGTTGACAATTTTGGCAAATTACTTTCAGGTATTTTGAAGTTGGTTTCATAACAAATTAAGGAAGGAATAGTATTTACTTAAAGTTTATCTTAAGGTAGCACACCACAGTAATGTAAGCCACATATTCTGGATTTAAATGACTGGTTGTCTTTAAAATGCATTTTCAGCATGAAATTTGTTTTTGTGACATCTAATATGATCACTGGCAAATTCGAAAACATGGCCAGAAATCACATGCTGTTGATTATTTATGTCAAGGCCGCCATTTTTTGTAAACATTGCTTTTAAACAGCATGCACGGTAAAAAGAAGTCATTTTACAGGGGGGTACAAACTTTTAGCAGTAGCAAAAAATCTACAAGGTTGAGGACTTGTTTCTTTGTGATATTTTGCATGTATAGGGAGTTGCTAAAGCAGAGACAGTGTTCCTTTAGCCTGTATATTTGCAAATATTTTTTGCCAGGGGGTCGAAATGTGTTGTTTTGGGTCTCGGGCCACTGTAGATTTTGGGCTTCAACGGAATGAATTGCAACTTTTTTGACTGCCTGCCTATTGCAGACACAGGCGCTTGTCACATAATCAAATATTTTACATAATCGGTCTATATATGTATATAAAGATATATTTGATTATGTGACAAGCGCCTGTGATTGCAGATGGGATAATTTCTTTGTAGATTTGCAATCTTATGTCATATATGTTCTCAACAAAATGTGTTTTCTTTTTCCAGGTTGTGTAGTTTGGTATCAGAATTATTAGACGTATTGCTTGTAGGACATTGACGGCAGGAACTTGAAATTAACTGTGGAGTGCTACCTAAACAATGGTTTATTTACACTCGCGAAAATGTATTACAAACTACCTGCAAACGTTTTCAAGCTCTTTAACATTTTCGGAACTCATCTTCAGTTTCTTTGTTAGAGTCTCTCTATCTGCTTTTGTCTCTTCAGCACATGCTAAATAGACATCGTTGTCCCATTTTGATAGAAATTCTCTTACATTTATTTTCTCACTGGAGTCTGCCATCTTTAGGTCAAGTGAAACTAATTATTATGTCAGGTTGAAAACAACTAAATAATTTCCTTTCACACCTACGAGTTTTCAATGGTATCAGATATTGATAATGTTAAGTGTTAAAATGCTTAGGTTAATGAACCATGGCCATCCGTGGATATGTAACCTATGTTTATTGAGGGTCCATCCACTCGTTAAGACACTAAATGCAGGCAGTACAGACCCAAGACATGTCTCGAGCTAACTTTGAAGCATAAAAGTAGTGATAATGTACCTCCTTGAATTTCCTAAAAGAATTAGCAGATTAAAGACATGAATTTTGAGCCAAAAGGATGTCACTGTAGGGTGGTAAATGAAAACCTTAATATACAGAACCCAAGACAATTATGAAAAGGAGGTATAGCCCTAGCTGAAAAGGACTTTTGGTGCCTAGCAAAGGATCTGCATTTCAAGCAGTCACTTTGTGCTAGGGGCTTGAGCACTCTTCCTTCACTGCAGCCATCCCTGCCGATTACTGGAGGTTACGTACCACGGAGGATACGTACCAGGAGGTTACGTACCATTTTTGGAGGTTACGTACCACTTATATATTTTGGAGGATACGTACCATATATATAATTTATATAAAATACAACTAATATAGAGCATAACAATTATAAAAAAAGACCGAATTTTAAAACTTTATTATTACTTTTTAAAAATCACATATGAGCAATTAATGTAAATTTAATGCAAACGTTTTATATATGATTATCACACATTCTGAAATGAGTAATCTAACAAATCACAAACAAATTGCAAACTATTGACATATGAGTGAATCAGTGTGGTATTAATTATTTATCACAACTCTGATCCGGCTTTGACGTGTAACTCAAACTTTAAATGAGTGAACTCTAATAAACATATAAATATACTGCAATTCTTGTCCGATATCACAACTGTAATTACTTACAGAAAGCAGTATGACGGAATCAGCCCACTGTTTAGTTTGTTCTAAAGAAGTTACAAGAAGACAACATGCTTTACAATGCGACCAATGTAATAATTGGCAGCATCGTTTATGTGGGACAGGTAGTCTTTTTAATTTTATTAATTATTATAATGTTCATAAAAAAATAATTACCCTCTAATAATCCATTATTATGTAAAGATTTAAGTAAATAAATCAATCTTCTTGGTGATTATTTATATCATACTATCATACAATTGAATAAAGATTCTGTTTACGTTTCATTTTTTCAATTTATAACTATTTATATAACTTTATTTTTCAGGAATAACACAGTCAGATTACAGGATGATGGTGCGTGGTGTTATTGAGGTCGAGTGGAGCTGTAGCATATGCAAGTCTCCGGTAAGTAATACTGATGAATTTAATTTAATGAAATTTCGCGGCGATCAACTTTTACACAAAACATGCATGCATTTCTTAAAACCTATTTAATTATAAACATAGACAACATAACGAGGGCAACTAACTTATTTCGTCAGAAAATGCGCCCATCTGAACCAAAGGAAGATGATTTGTCGTTTACGGTAATATATATCATCATTTTTGTATTGGAATGGAATCTTATTGAGTTGTGATATATTTTTACATAATATATTTACAGTTGAGTTCACACTAAACTTCCCACCCTTGTGCACTTCTAGTGCACTAGAGCTGAACTAGAAGTGCACTAGAAGTGCACTTCTAGTGCACTAGACCATATGACCAGGCTGGCCAGGGAAGGTGACACCTAAATGGTTTATTGGATAATTGTAATTGTATATCAAGTGGTGGGGGGGGGGCATCCATTGTTACGCTGCTGTATGAAGAAAAAAATAGGAAAATATATATATGGCCTATTCATGAATATAAATAAGTAAATTTTAAAATCAGCAGTTTTAACATTTTAGGTGATAATCATGTTGAAGCTTAAAATTAAAATGTTTTTTTTCCATTTATTGTAAACCAGTATTTAACTGTAAGTGAAAAATAATACCCCTTATAATCAAATTTATAAAATTAATAAGGTTAAATTTAAATTATGCTCCGTAATGGATAATGAAATAAGTGTTTTTAAAGCTTTTTTTAATGGCCATATATTTCAATTTTTCTAGTGTACAAATGATATAATTCAATGTGATAATTCTGGCCCAATTAATTTAGTTTGTTACATCATAAACTTTTTTTCATAAGCTCAAACAAATCAAGGAAAGGTTATATTTAAGCTAAAATATAATTTCTATAATATATAACTTAGAGACAATTCATCATGTTCAATATTGAAAGAGAATATTAATACATTGATTTTAAAACAATCAATATACTGTGATAATTTAGTATTCAACTGTGTAATCCTTGCATATGTTTATGCAAATAATTTAAATATTATCCATAAAATAAATAAATTTGATATCTTTATTCATTATTTCAATATTAAAAATTTAATGTATAAAGGGAATACTTTTATTGAAGAGGAAAATCTCAAGTCGTGCTGTGTATTGGTATTTTCTGAGAGGGACAGTTTTCAATATACCACTCTCCTGCTGATAAGAGGGCCTCAGGGTAAATAACAAAGATAGGTCAATTTTGCAGATTTATAAGAATGCATTGAAATTCTCTGGTTTTCGCAAAATGCATGTTAGACATAAGCCTGGGATTCATCAGGCGTTGGCACTCAGTAAATGACCATAATTTTTGTATAATCAAATATACAAAAAAAAACAACATAAAGGCATAAATGCATAATAGATATTATCAGAGACATAGATAGATGTTATCTATGTCTCTGATATTATTGTCTCTAAAGCGGAATTTTCTATATGTATCCATTTATCCACATTTCTTGCCATTCTGCATAATAATATCACGGATTTATATTACTATATACTATTAATATAAATCTGTGATAATATATAACTTAAGAGGCAATTCCTCATGTTCAAGATTGAAAGAGAATATTAATTCATTGATTTTAAAACATTTTATACACTGTGATATTATGTTTTTCAACCATAAAATGCTTGCATACTTTTTAAAGATATACATAATTAAAATTTTTCCATAAAATAAATAAACTTGATAACTTTATTCAAGATTTCTACATTAAAAATGAAATGTATAAAGGGAATGTTTTTATACAAGAGGAAAGATTCGAGTCATGCTGTGTATTAGCGACTGTTTTCATTACACTGGTCTCCTGCTGATAAGAGGGCCTCAGGGTAAATAACAAAAATGCAAATGTATGCAATATTTATTGAAAATTTCCCTTTTCCCCCCAAAATACATGTAAGTCATCGATAAATGACTATACTTTTTGTATAATCAAATGTAAAAAATAATCTTAATGTCATAAACGCATGTTAGATATTATTGTCATTTATTGTCTTTGGAGTGGAATTTTCTAATCTTATTATAAAAAAAACTGGTTTAAAAGTTAACTATTCTACAAAGACTTTGTATCAATATTTTTTCACATTCTTTTAGTTTTTGAACTGGGAAATGTTATTTTTTTCTATTATAGATTTGACAAATTTGCCTTGTCAGTTTTTTTTTTTTTTTTTTTTTTTAATTTAATATCATACATGAGCAGAAAACAGTTACAGGAGATTAAAGTGTCAAAAGTCATGCTGTGTATAGGTGTTTTGATATAGTACCCTGCTGATAAAAGAGCCCCTCAGGGTAAATAACATAAGCCAGATTACTAAGGCGATGTAAATTCTGTATTCTCTGGATGTTGGTGCAAATAAATTTCATTACAAATAGTACAAAAAGAAAAATGAATATTTTTGCAATTTATAATAAACTCATCAAATTAATCATATTGCATAATAATGTTACAATGCATGAAAAAAAAAGGAAAAAAGATTGGTGTCGTCTCAAAAAATGGAATTGACAGATTTTCTAATCTTTTTGTTAATATCCATGTCAGTTTAAGTATACTAGTATCCCGCAGGTACATATCAATACTTAATCCACACATATCAATACATACCACCATTATATATAAATATTTATTTTCAGAATAATATATATCATTTATATATCATTTATATTAATCTTAAGTTAATCTCAGTTTGAGAAGGTAAGATAGATTATAAATGAAATAAAATTGACAAAATTTAGGCCAATTATAAACATATTAATTCTTTAATGTATTAAAGGCTATTAATGCTTAAAATCATTACCTTTAACTAAAACAACCATAAGTTAAGATTAAAAATAACTAATACTACGGTATAATTCCCCCTCCCCCCCCCAAAAAAAAGAACTGATTTAATTTTGTTTGATTAGCATTTCAATGTTTCATATTTCATTACCAGATTATAATAAAATAGAATCATATTAAATATCAATTAAGTTTGTTTATTTATGCAGTTATCAACATTAAAGTTATAATTATTTATATTTAAATTACTTATTCTAACAATTAAATTTTAAAGTACAAAATCAGTAAAATTAATGACTTTGAAATTTATTGTTCTAATATTTTACGCCATATTTTACAAATTCCAATATTCACAACTTCAAATTTTTATTGAAAAAATATTAAACAGATATCTATATTTTCTATCTTTTTGTAAAAGTCAAATTGCTATTCAGTGAAATAAAAGGCAACTGCTTAATACATATAATAGGTCTGGTGCACTACAAAGTGCACTTATGAAGTGCACTAGTAGTGCACTACTAGTGCACTTTGTAGTGCACTAGTAGTGCACATCTAGTGCACTCCTAGTGCACTTTGTGTAACCTTTAGTGTGAACTCAACTGTATGTATATATAAATGTCAACTTTATATACTTTCAGTTGTCACGTGACTTCATCAAAGCGGATGAGTTCCTCGTGGATGATATACGTGTGGGAGAGGAACGTCATATGATGTTTGCGACGGCAGCCCAGCTAAGCCACCTTCAGACTGCAAGGCGGTGGTTCATAGACGGAACTTTTAAAGTGGTACGACGACCATTTTATCAGTTGATGTCTGTTCATGCTTTTGTTAAGAGTGGTGAACATGTAAAACAAGTACCTCTTGTTTTTGTATTGATGTCAAGGAGAAGGAAGGAAGACTACGTTGAGGTACGTTTCTTATAAAATCAATTGAAATGAGATGAATTGAGAATTATATTTCATGTTATAGAATTCTTACGATTTTTTTTTCCAGGTTTTTTCACGACTGAAGGAGAAACTTGGAGATCCGATGGTAGAGTGGTTTATGCTGGACTATGAAGCAGGTAAATAGCATCTCTATTTTGTTTTTTGAAATGATTGAATTTAATGTGTAACATGTATACATCCACTCATTCTTGCTAATTACTCTTTTTCAGCTGCGTGGCAGGCTATCAGACAAACTTTCCCAAACACCATCGTCAAGGGGTGTGTTTTTCACTGGCTCCAAAGGGTGTATAGAAAGGTCATTCATACCTTCCTGCGGAGCACGTGAGACACACCTTCATTGAGTTGGAGTCTCAAGCTGAAGAGTCCAGATGCGTTCCCATCATAGATTTGACAACTTACATTCGAGATACATGGATCGACGGCAGACTATGGAAAGTGGAGAACTGGTCAGTTTTCAGAGAAACCGTACGTACTAATAACGATGTTGAAGGTAAATAGTTTCACTCACCATGAATATCATGCAGTACCGCCTTTTTATAATCGATTTTCGTTACTCAGTGTTTATAATACCAAAATATAGATACTACATATTTGTTGATATTTTGCAGGCTGCTGGCACAGACGTCTAAATTCACGCGCAGGCGGGGCGCAGCTTGCATTCTACGTTCTGGTGCCTCTTCTTTATGGTGAGGCTCAGTTCGTCGACTTGCAAACTCGTCTCGTCTCACAGAACATGCTGACAAGGGTACGCAGGAAGCAGTACAAGGCCATCCATGACAAGCTGTTCGACCTGTGGGACAAGTATGAAGACGGAGACATAACTACAAATCAACTTTTGAAAAATTCAAGTCACATCATGGGCCTAGGACCAATTCCAGCAACAGTGGATGACCATTGCGACGACGAAGATCTTGAGTAGATTCTGACAAGAGGACAGTAGCTTCCAGGAGCGGTTTACGGGAGCTGAAAAATATGTGTTTGTATATATGAGTCTGTAAATAAAACGTTACCTGCATATGTACGGTGATCAATTATGTTGTCTTGTTTATTTCAGTATATTATTATTATTCAGTGCGTATAAATTAAATTATTTTAAAAATACTTGTTAATTGTGTATTGTTGTTTCATTTCAGAGCGTGTAACATAATTATGTGTTTTTATATATGAGTCTGTAAATAAAACGTAACCTGCATATGTACTGTTATCAATTATTTTGTCTTGTTTATTTCAGTATATTATTATTATTCAGTGTGGATAAATAAAATATTTAAAAAAAATACTTGTTCATTGTATATTGTTGTTTCATTTCAGAGCATGTAACATAATTATGTGTTTTTATATACGAGTCTGTAAATAAAACGTAACCTGCATATGTACTGTTATCAATTATTTTGTCTTGTTTATTTCAGTATATTATTATTATTAAGTGTGGATAAATAAATATATTTTAAAAAATACTTGTTCATTGTGTATTGTTGTTTCATTTCAGAGCGTGTAACATAATTATGTGTTTTTATATATGAGTCTGTAAATAAAACGTAATATGCATATGTACTGTTATCAATTATTTTGTCTTGTTTATTTCAGTATATTATATTATTCAGTGCGGATAAATAAAACTCAAAGAGTATTTTTTTTTATGTTAATTGTAACATAAATATTGTTATTTTCATTTTATGCACAGTTCGGTTAACGTGTAAATAAAACTTGTAAATGTAAACTTGTCATCGTTTGTTCGTTTCAGTTTTGTGTTGTAAATAAAACTTGTTTATTATCGTTAATTGGTTTGTTCTTTATTCTTTTATATTCATACATATTTAATCTCATTACAAAATTAATACAATTAATGCGCGAATTTGAACAATAAACCTGATAGTTTCACACCTTATCCCTTATTATCACTTTATTTAGGAAATAGATATCAATTCTGAGTGCATTGTTGTAGAATAATGCACGGTTTGAGTTCAAATGCGTAGTAACATAATCACGAAGGCCGATAGGCCTGAGTGATTAATTACAAAGCATTTGAACGAAAAACGTGCATTATTATACAATAATGCACGAAGAATTAATATCTATTTCCATTCTAACACGTCAAGATAAAATATAATTATTATTATAAAGTTGGACTCTATGTTTGGTGGTTTAATTTGTTTTCGCCTTAGAGTTTCCCATAGAAAGTTAACGTTCTTTAAAGGCTGTCCCAGTTGGTTGAAAAAAGCTGTCGATAAATCTACCGTGTGTAGAAACATTTTGAGAAAAACAAATTTTGAAAACGTTGGTAAAACTTTGTTTGTTTATTTTACTTCACTCTATAATTTTTCAAGCGAAATACAAATTTTCAAAAGTGAAATAAATGTGAAACTTAACTTGTTTGCGACATTAAAATAGCGTACTTGATTTGGTTGTTTTGCACGTGCTGTTTGGCGCTATATTGTGACGTCACGTAAACAACACTTTAAACGCCTGTACAGCGTTAACGACTGAATTAAAGATATTGGTGTTCGGATTCATTTTCTTAGTTAGACCATTTTCTTTCATTCTAGATAGCTTTCATAACAAAATTCGACAAAAAATGTTTTTATTTATCAGATTTTTTAAACAAAATGGCGCCCTCAATGTGAAAATACACAGGGAGGTAATAAGAACGGCGAGTGCATTGTTGTAGAATAATGCACGCTTCGGGCCTTCTTTGTCTATATAGAAAAAAATCCGATAGTGTTAGAATATATATTTCTATAGTGGTTCGTAATCTATTATATATTTCTATAGTGGTACGTAACCTCCAAAAATGGTACATTTATGCAGTGGTACGTAACCTCCATGGTACGTAACCTCCAAATTCCTCCCTGCCTACTGTGTAGGGCCACTCCCCTCACCTTTAGTCAGACATCAGCACTTTTTACTGTCCTCAAGGTCTTCAAACATGTCAAATCTTCTGCTGATGCCCCTGTGCCTTCTCCACAACACATGTAGTAATTTATCAGGTGTTAGCTAGTTTATAAATATATACAAATTGCACATGCTCAGTAATTAACTTGTCTAGCCAGCATCTCAATGTTAGGAATTTTAGGAGAATAAATTTACATCTTGTAGAGTTACACACGTCTTTGTGTTGTATTATCACTATATTTTGTGATGTCTACTTGATTATTATTACTCCCAACACCAAAACAACATGCATACATCAAGGGGAAAAGAAAAATAGTCTCATCTGGTGTCTCTATAATCCTATATTTATCAAACTCTGACATCAGAAATACTAATAAGAACAGACACAATGATGTGTTATTGTATGTTTATACAATGCACTTCATATTCAAATTTACTCTTAACATGATTTTATAGTAGGTTTACTATCATCTAATAATTTGAACTAAAAGTGATGTATGCCTCCAAAGTGTGATTATGAACTTTCTTTGGTAAAATTGGACAAAATCCACCAAGAAATTACTAAATACAATATGGACAGTACATGGAACTAGAAATTGTCACAAGTGCCAAATACCGGACAGGCCGGGCCTGAGACACATGTTTGTCAGAAAATATGCTTTTTAGTTAATAATTTTGCACATAGGAGAATTGCTGTATTTTATAGATTTTTTTTTTCAATTTTTTTTTATTTATTTGTCCAATTAACATCAATAAGATAGATTAATTAGTTAGATAGTTTAAATTTTTCTTGACTTATTTTAAGGGCATTCGTTCTTTCTCCCTGAGATTTCTGCACTTCTACTCAGTGAGATCTATCTACGTTTCATATTGAACCATTCATAGCTCTCAAGTTATGTCCTGCACAAAGTTAAAAGTGTAAAAATGAACAAAAGGTAATATCCCCTAAATTTACTTAAGGCAGAGTTAAGTTTCTTTTGCAATGCACTTCTAGTCTATGAGATCTATCCTCCTACACAGTTTCTTTTTAATACCCCTTATTGTTTTAGAGTTATGTCCCAGCAAAGTTCAAAAGTGAAAAATAAACAAAGGACAATAACTTAAAAATTAGGTAAGGTAGAGTTACGGTTCTTGTGCACTGCACATCAATTCAGTGAGATTTATATACCTGCAAAGTTTTAGTTGATACCTTTTATAGTTCTCAAGTTATGTCCCATGCGAAGTTTACAGTGTAAAAAATGGACTAAGAGCAATAACTCCAAAATAAGGGAAGGCAGAGTTATGGTTCTTTTGCAATGCACTTCTAGTCAATGAGAATTATCTTCTTACAAAGTTTCTTGTTAATACCACTTGTGGTTTTAGAGTTATGTCCGGACAAAGTTCAAAGTGTTAAAATAAACAAAGGGCAATAACTCCAAAATTAGGCAAGGCAGAGTTAAGGTTCTTTTGCACTGCACTTCTACTCAATGATATCTCTCTACCTACAAAATTTGAAGTTGATATCTTTTGTAAATTCAGAGTTATAAGAAATCTGCAACAGACCGACCAACCACAAGCTGACTCCAGTATACCCACTAAATCTTTGTCAGGGGTATTGAAATTCCTATTTTTTGGGCCTTTTACCATTGTACTACGATTGTTCTAAGTCTTGTGCTTAAATCATGGTCCTGTGTTGGTGATCATTTTTGCTAAATAATTTAAGAATTCAACAATGAATGGCAAAGTTATGGAATAAAACATAAAATGTACTCCATTTTTGACCTTTGACCTGTACATAATTATGGCTTTGACATTTGACCTGATTTCACACAAAAAACTCTTGCTTCTTGATCTAATAGAATCTATGATGGTTCTTTTTTTATTTATTTACTCTTTTCTGGTCCTTCCCAAATGATTAGTTTAAAAGCTAATAGATATACAAACAATGTTCACGTACAGGTACTGAAGATTGGGTACAAATATAAAATAAGCAAGTCTTCACATCAGAAAAACCAGGAGTTTATTTAACAAATACATTACATACAGAAATAGCTCATCTAGTGGTTATTATGGTAAAAATGACAAATAAATTATATGAATGACACACATGGTACGATGTATATAAAATTGAGATCTGTATTTAAAATAACCATGTACACCCCCTGGTGTCCATGATTCAATGCTCTAAGCTTAACGTTTACAAGCTAAGTATAATACACAACATTTCTACTTGTTCAAACCTATATTTCGGCAAAAATTGCAGATAGCGTTGTGAAACAAGAGCGGGCCTTGATGGTTATAAAATTCTCACCTGGGAACTATTGGAACTGAGACTTTAAGTTCCTTAATCTTGAGGACTTAAGGCCTATACAAATAGACCCCTGGGGTTCTCAGTGTCAAAGATCTTTCAACCCATATAAAAACGACAGCTTAAGAAATTCAAAATAAGTTTAT